TTTTTTTTTTTTTTGCGACAGATTATAAACCCCGTACGCGCATGTAATAATCAGCACAAACTTCGCAGCCGTAGAAATGTTGCCAGTTGTTTTGTCTGCGATAAGCTGTTGGTGAAACCTCCTCTGAACAAAGACCAACGTAAATTGATAAAAGTAACAAAATAAGGAACTCAGTTGCTGAAGCAGATTTCTCGTGTTTCTGCTTATGTTTGTTTAGATCCATGTGGTGTTACGATGTGTTGATCCAGATAATAAGAAGGATTGTGAACTGGCGGCAAAATGTGCGGAGGATGTATATGCTGCTCAAGCTAAAATTGATGCAGGAAAGACGGATGAGGTAATAGTTCCGTCTTCAGCTGAGGTATTGATTTACGACACTGCATCGCAGCTCTGTCATTTTTTAGCTTCCTTGTGCGACTTCTTAGAGAACAGTATGAGTGAATGCGGGTTTGGCTATGTGAATTTTGAGAGTCTATAGAACAGTACTGAATTCCAGTACTAAAATCTTTCTTCAGTTCGACGATTAACAAACTCATTTTTTCGGCACAGCTGCAAGAATTGCATCTGAAGCACTCACTTTTTTGTGACATTAAGCTGTTAACTACCAACGTTTCAGACGAAGTGGAGAAACGGCCAAGGCAAATCTGAAAACACCTCTAATGGCGCCTCTTTACATTCGTCGTGTTCTAACTCAGTTGATGTTGTTTCCAACCTGGCTTGGCGTAGCGATGCACGTCTGCGGGATCCTCATTTGCGCAAGTATTTCTTTAAGCAGCGAGCAGATTCGAATTCAGTTCATCCCCCACATGATTATCGGTAAGTTTTTGGTTGCTTCTACAATTATTCATGCCTACTGCTTCTAGATTGCTTTGAAAGTTCAAAAACCCGTGATTTCATCGCCCTGCTTCTTCCTGCTCTTAAAGCAGCTGACGGTGTTTCCACTTTTCTCATTTCTGGTCTTACTGCCGTCACTCAACTCTTCATGCAAGCATCCATTTGAGTCTCTCACTGTTGGTCTTCTCATCACTGAGAAAGGAAGGCTGTGCTGGATATAACACTGGATGCAGTAAAGTATTTCGAAAAGATTGGTGCAGCATTTTGAATTATATAATTGTGTTTTGTTAGAGCTACAAAGTACTTGTCGGGGGCACCCTGCAAAATTATCGATCTCTAAGAAAGAAGATTTTTTTTTGTAGATGCACGATTCGAAAAATGAATAACGCGTCACCAAAAACAGGTGGTCCAGTGAAAGAAGGCCTTGCGTCAAAAGATTCGCTTGCTGACGAGGAAGCAGCGATGGTAAGCTTAGATGTACTGCTTCTGATGTGGAGTAACAAGGTGCTGCATGTTTTAAGACTTCTTTATACCATATGTTAAGTTTTAACTGCTCCTTGTCGCTTCATATATCTAGGTTGCGATGC